CATGAAACAAAGAGAAGTCTACTATTTCTATCAAGTTTTCTAAATTCTCTCCTAACAATCGCATAACTGTAGTGGATGGAAACCAGCTTTCATTTCAGGCGCCAATGCTTCATGTGTTAAAGCTGCATTCTCTCTACTGTCCACCAGGGGGCGACTCCTCTGGTTGTATAGAAGTCTGAGAAAATGCCTCTACTTCTCTCTTGATTTATTACCTCAGTAAACATTGTAAACATGAGTTTATGGTCTCAATCTCTAGTTTCAAGTCTTCTTCAATACAGCATGATGTTCATTTAGTACATTATGGTCCATTTAGAGTCACACAGACCATAAAGCAGGGGATGCTTTAGGGTGGGGCTACACAGTGATTGACAGGTCTCTACCAGAGACGTATATGGCGTCTCTACATCACTCCTCCTCAGTCCAGATATGGTCACTTCCTGTTCATTGGTTGCAAAAAAGCCAAGGTGGCCACGGCAAATTCGCCCAACTCTAGGCTTCATTACCTCGGTCCACAAATCTGGAAACTACACGGCTACAACTTTTTGTTTCCATGTAGTCAAACTGGCTCCATTACTAATATGCTGACTCATCTCTTATCTATTATTATGAATTTAAGGAACCATCAGCAGAGGAGTTCTCAGGTGTAAATCTCCGGAGTTTTTTTCTTCTTCTCTGCAGTAAATAATGTGACTGATGTGAGTGGAGCTTTTTTAATAAAGTGTGAAAAATACCTCCAGGATGTGACTTTCACCTCCTCTGTGTTTCAAATCTCCCCTCCGCCATCGAACCCCTGAGTGGGCTCGTCGACTTTAGAATAATGGCCCATTCTTCAGCGTCTCAGCATCTGCATAACGATCAGTGGTTTCCAGCGGTTATTTATGGCCGCTGAGGTTCGTTTCTGATGTTAAGTGATACCCTGTTGATTTGAATAATGGCGTGAATGAAACAGGAAATAACCCGGGGAGATTAATGAGCTGTGTGTGTGTGTGTGTGTGTGTGTGTGTGTGTGTGTCACGACTATTTTTTGTGTTAATAAAGTATGCTTTTATGTAAAGGCTCCAGTTTAAAGGTGTTTTATTTTACCTTCTTTACACAATATCAGAGCAGTAATGATACGTGTTTTTAGTCAACTTATGAGACGGAAAGATGGGAATGGTTTCGATATTTAAAGGTGAACATGAGGTGAATTTTAGAGGTGATGCACTCGCATGTAAAGTCGATGGTTAGACGTGATGTAATACATTTGCATATGTCGGGGCAAATGTTGGCATGTTTTGTGGAGAAATTAGTTGTTTTTTGTTTTCTTTAAACGCATTCATTCTCCTGAACGTGTTCCGTCTGATTGAGTTTAGAAGAGTTTTAATGAGCGTGTGAGATCGACCGCCTCGCTGTATCTGAACCAGTTTAAAGTCAAAGTCGATTTAGTGTTTGTAAAGATTCGTTTTGTCCTCAGAGCTCCTCGTCTGTTTTTGTCCTCCCGTTCTTTATTCAGACTCAATTACAGCAGCTAATAAACACATTTCCTCCAGTCTCACAGCCCGTTTCACATCCTAGTATACTCCTTTAACACACACACACACAAATATAGATGTGTATGTATGTATGTACATACATACAGTGTATGGGTCTTCCTGCTCTTGACCAAATCCCTCATTTTGTAGTGTTTAGAGTCACTTGCCTGCAGTTTTTTTCCTTTGTTAATGCTCTCTCGCTCTCTTTCTCTTTCTTTCTCTCTCTCTCTCTCTCTCTCTCTCTCTCTCTCTCTCTCTCTCTCTCGTGTGCTCTGATGCGTGAGAGGACAGGTAGAGATTTGAGCTGGTGAAAAATTGTCAGACTGAAAAGCGACGCTGTTGTTGCTCTGTGACTCTTAACGTTCTGTTACCAGAAGTACACAAAGGCTGAGTCTTATTGTTGAAGAATGTAAATAACATCCATGGTTTCCAGATTCGGTGTTGAATAAGTTGTCTTTCATACACGCAGCTTCTCGGATCAACTCAACCAACAAATCAAAAATGGGGCTTTAAATGAGGCGGAACAATTGACTTCTAGCTTCATGATTCTCTCACAGTGAAGAGGACATTGGTGCATCATGATGATGATGATGATGATGATGATGGTGAGAGAAGTGAAGGTGGTGATGATGGCAGTAAAACGACCAAACAGGGAGGTGTTGATGTTATTGAGCAAACACGTGATTTATCCATTTTTATTCATCTTTTTCCTACAATGAGTCTGATCTGCTGCTCTGTATTTATCACAAACAATATTCTGACTTCATGTTCTTCTTTGCGCTCCGACTGTGTCTCTTATATAAAGAAAGCACGTATATTAACTATAATAGTATCAAAAGTAAATGTAATTATTATGCAGAATGAAGTGTTGGACATAAAGCATTATTATTTAGTGGATAAATAAATACAATCAAGGGACAAAATTAATTTTGAAGATGCAGATTCAGTTTAACAGAATTAACAGTAAATGTTTAAATTTGAATGAAATATTAACTATAACAACTAACTGTTGTAACATGAATATATATTGTCGGTCTAAACTGTGACGGCATCTTAAATTCTCATTGCTTCATCCAGATGTCACAGAAACTAAATCATATTTGATCATTTTTCTGCAGAATCTGTCAAGTTGTTGTTGAATGTGTAGATTTGACCCTTTGCTAAGCCCCGCCCACTGCTGCAACGCCAGTCAAGCCCACAGAAGGGTCTATATGTGTTTAAAGGCTGTATCAGGATGTCGAACTGATTCAGTGAAAACATGTCATAAAGATAGAAGCTAAAGATCGAGCTAAAGCTATCGAGAAGACAATGAACATTAAGGAACAACACTGTTCCTGTAAAGTGAAAGCAGCATGTAGCATAGCAGTGCTAACGCTAGTTAATGACATGCTAACGTACTCTGCTAATGTTAGCTCCACAGGTTTGTAGGTAGAAACGAAACGTTTATCTCCTTCAACCTCTCCGGGTAACGAGTATCACGATCACACGTTTAACCACAATGAGCTCCACATCCACTAAACCAGGCTGAACATGAAGAACATCTGAAACCACTGATGAGTCTACGGAGCAGAGCTGGATCGTTATTGGACCCTGGTCAGAGCTGTATGATGCTACGCTATGATTGGTCAGTTTGCATTTGAGGGGCGGGACTTGGCAAAGGGTCAATTGTCGGCCGAGTTTATTCACCTGGTCGAGGCTGAATGTGTAAAGATTGTGGCTGTACACACACGCGCACACACACACTCACTCACACACTCTTGACTCTTTACACTGTCATATCCCAGTAACAATAAGAAGGCATGCGTTCACCTGGACAGTCCAGATACAGAGGTTTATTAACACACAGGTAAAGACAGGTGGGAGAGAGGGGGGTCAGTGTAAGGAGGGGGCAGATGCAGTGAATACAGTGAAGAAGACAATAAAAAAACAACAAACATGTCCGCCCTGATTGTCCCGTCAGTCCTGCTGTGTATTCACCACACAGCGGCGAATCTTTGCTTTGTCAGCGATTCATTTCCACATTTATAGTCTCAGACAGAGTGAAATAAAAAGAAGAGCCTGAAGAAGTCCTCCTGTCTCCAACTCAACAAAACAATGATTCTTCTTCTTCTGCAGCATAAATAATTTCAGCTGATGCATTTCATTTATTTATTTCCCTTTTGATTTCCCGAACTTCGTTCTGACTGATGATGACGGTAATCAAGTTCCAAGGGAGAGGAGGAGGAGGAGGAGGAAGGATAGGGGAAGGAGTTCAAACCTTATCCTTTAAAACTGTTTCTATTTTTACTTGATAAAAGATCCTCCTCTTCTTCTCTAGCTTGTCTACTCTAAAACGTTTCACATTGTGACAGAGCTACACTACGCAGGTTGGTTTGGCTCTCATCAACTGACTACAAAAGGAAACACTAAAAAGCTCTAAAAAAGGATATATTTTTTTATTTTCTCTGTCTCTGTACGAGACAAGAAGGCATCTGCAGCAAATGTTTATTAAAGGTACAAGCCGTGCTTAAAGGGACAGCAGCAGTCCATGCTCCATCGTTGTGGCAGGAAAAACATCCCTGACGTCCTTTAAACTTCATCTCAAACACAGTTTCCTCGCTCAGACTACGAGGCAGTATCCCGAGTTCATGATCTTTCTATTTTTGGTTTTAAATCCTGCAAGATTTTTATTTTTTTTACTTTCCTCTCCTGCGTCTTTGTCCGCTCTTTCCTGTAACTTCTCCGTGAGCACCGTCCCTACCCTCTCAGTCTGCCTGAGCCCGTCCCATCACAGTGCATTGGTTGATGGCTGTCTGTAGGGCCTAGTAGGCAAGACTTTGGGCAAACAACCACATTTACACATATATATTGTTGACAGTATTCAATCTCTTCAACTTGTTTTGTTTTTATCAGGCTGTTGCAAAGAAAAGATACATTTTGAAAGTCAGTATGGATTACCGGTTTGCTCAGGTCCGGTGCTGGGGTGCAGTGGAAGGTGATCCGGTGCTGGGGGTAAAGGGAGGTGATCCGGTTCTAGGGCCAGTGGGAAGTGGTCTGGTTCTGGGTGCAGTGGGGGGTGGTCCGGTGCTGGGGGCAGTGGGAGGTGGTCTGGTGCTTAAGTCAGTGGCAGGTGGTCTAGTTCTGTGGTCAGTGGCAGGTGGTCTAGTTCTAGGGGGTGTGGCAGGTAGTTTAGTTCTAGGGGCAGTGGCAGGTGGTCTGGTTCTAGGGGCAGTGAGGTGGTGAAGAAGCAGAGGGGGAAGTGAGTGAGAGGTGATGATACTGTCTGTTGCTCTCTCTCTGCTATTGCAACGTGATCGGAGTGTCTGAGAACATGGACATGATGGGGTCCGCCTCCCCTGCCCTCTGTTGTGACTGGTTGTGGAGCTTTGAGTGCTGCTCTGCCCCTAGTAGTAAACCTGGACCCAAGTGTCCTCCTGTCCCTGCCCTGACTCTGCCGTTCTGCTGCTCTCTGATCGGCTCCAGAAAGACCACATGCTTGTTGGTACTGACCTTGCGGCCCGGGCCCTCAGTGGTCGCCGGCGGGGTTGGGGTGAGGATGGAGGACTGGGCACTCCCTGCTCCAGCCTCCTTCCCTTGGCTCGGGGTCGCCGGGGTCGGTACTTTGCGGCAGGGAGGGCAGCGGCAGGGCGTCAGGAAGAGGTACATGAGGACCAGCACCAGGCTCACCACGCAGCCCAGCAAGGTGGTGAATCCGGTGTTGAACGGCTCGTGAAGCTCGTCGTTGTGCAGCACCACGGTCACATTGACCTCCTGCGTCTCGTTGCGCTGCTGTTGCCGGTCCAGAGACATACACCAGTAAATGCCGGAGTCCTCCGCACGAGCCGCCACGATCTCCAAGCTGCCGTTGGCGTACATCTTTAAGGATCCGTTGTTCCCCGGAGGTGCCACGTATTCCTGATTCGGTGACACCCAGAGAAAGGTCACATGCTGTCCGATGAGAGTGCTCACACAGTGCAGCAGCATCGGCTTTCCCACCTTCACTGAAACACTGCTATTCTGCTCTTTCAGCCCCTGACTCATCGCGGTCAAGTTGCATTTTTCAAAGTAGCGGCCGTGCTGGAAGAAGCGCACGGTACCTCTCTGTATCCCGTAGACCAGACAGGTGTACTCCTGTCGGAAGTCAGTCACCGAGGCAAATCCTCTCTGGTCCCAGTGCCTGAACAGTCCGTACATGGAGCACTCACAGACCAGGGAGTTGTTGTGAAGGTAGAGTCCTCTCTGCATTGAGATGGGTAAGTTTGTTATGTCCTCCAGGGGTAGTTTGGACAGGCGGTTTGAGGACAGGTCCAGCATGGTAAGGTGAGGGTGGCTGTGCTCTTGGATGGAAAAGAAGGGGAAGTCTGTGAGGCGGTTATGACTGAGGTAGGCCTTGCGGAGGCTGCCCAGTCCAGCCAGGGCTCTGCTCTCCATGTGGGCAATACGGTTGTTGAACAGAAGCAGCTCCTTCAAACCGGTCAGATCCAGGAAGTAATGCTGCTCCAAAACACGAAGCTGATTGGACGACAGGTCCAGGTGTTGGAGCAGCGTCCCAGAGGCGTTTCGAAATGCCCCAAGCTGAATAACAGTCAGCCGGTTGTGCGCTATCCGTAACGTCTCCAATCGGTTCAGTCCTTCGAAGCTGCCCCCCTCCAACTGCGCGATCCGGTTGTGGCTGAGATCCAGAGTGACGACGGAGACGGCCATCTCTCGGGGCACCTGATCCAGACCCGCGGCGGTGCAGCTGAGGATGTCTGAGGCGCAGAGGCATCTGCCCGGCTGGGTGGAGCCCTGAGACGGGCAGACGGTGGCCTGGACCGGGCCCGGCTGGGGGAGCTGGAGACAAACTAACAAGATGACAATGGACCACCACGACGGCGATGCCGCTGTAACCGCTGGTGCCACTACACCCTGCGGAAAACCACCGCTCCCAGCAACATACAACATGATGCCACCAGCAGGCTGCGGGCATCAGCAGCGCAGAGATCTGTTTATAGTTTTCTCTGTATTATAACTCTTTCAAACGTGCTTTTCACATCCTTCATGCTGTTCTGATTCTTCTCATTTTCATCAAGTAATTCACATTTGACATAGACAGACTCCTGCCAGACTAACACATGAGTGTGTGCACTTGTTTTTCATGTTTCTTTACCTTGTTCCAGGCCTTTTACATATGGAGCTAAAGCCTCTTATACTGCAGCCAGATATGCTGGTGTAAATGTTCGAATCCCTCGGTCTCTTATCGTTTCCAAGACACGTCTTAAGAGAGGAAGCTTATTTGCATTTAAGCTGCGGGGCACAAACACAAAGTCACTGTGATAAACGCCTCCAGCTCCAGGCGTGATCGTTTTATTTTTGTGAAACCCGGTTAATGTTGAATGAGGCGATCGCATCTGCGTCCACCTGCCAGCGTGGCGGCCATCTGGAGAGGGCAAACAAGATTTAAAAATAAATAAATAATCAAATGAAGAGAGGTGGAAACAGAGTTTGAGAGGTCCAGGTGCACCCGCTGTAAACAAACAAAATCCCTTCTGTTGTGTGATTTGTGCTCAGCAGGGTGAAAACAAACTCTGAATGAACGCAGTCAAAGTTCAGTCGCTTAAAAACTCATCCAGTAGAAGAAAAAAGGAGGAGTTGTGCTTGTAGAATCCTTTTATTTGCAGTCTGAGAAAACATTGTGCGTTCAGCTCCCCCTCGGAGACCCGTTTAGCCCATAGCTGCACCTCCAGTACCTCCGACACGGACAGGAAGTCCTCTCCCGATCGTTAGGTCCTGAAGACTTTCTCCTCGGCTCGTCCTCCTCATTTCAAAAAATAGAACGTAAACAGACCCGGTGATGTTTTTTGTATTCTCCAAACAGAAGAGGAGCCTTTTTTCATCTCAGTTGTTCGTCTCGGTCTCTTTGTTTTTTCTACGCCAAGTCTGTTTTTTTTTCTTCTTCTTGTTTTTTTGTGAATCACGGACCCCAGCTGTCTGCCGCCCACAGCACACGCCCCGAGTCGCGAGATCAGATTTTCAAAGAAGTCAGCATCGCGTCCACTTCGCTTCACTTCTCTTCACTCGCAGCCACTTAAAGCTCACACTCACTCACACACACACACACACTCTGACTGTCTTTCTCCTCCGGCTGATCCGTGCAGAGACGTGTTTTTTTTTCTTCAGCAGTGGGTGGATGATAGATTTTGTATGCAGAAGAGAAATCTGTGAAACATGCAGCTGGGAGCTCTTCTTTCTCTTCTCCGAGGCTCAGAAAAAAGAAGGAAACGGATAGAAGGAGAGACGTTATTCCTCTCCAGATATGTGTGTATATATGTGTATATATACACACACATGTGACTCCAGATGTGAGTGTGCTGGAGGTCGAGCTGTGAGCTGCTTCCCGTCTCCTCACCACTCGCTGTGACTGTGAGCTGTGTGTCTGCCTCCTCTGGTGCTTTCCCAGCTCCTCCTCCTCCTCTTCCTCTCCATTATAGTTTAACCCCCCCCCCGCCCACCACACACACATTTACACAGCACCTTCCTCCTCTTTTTACTGCTCTTTTCTTGTCTATTTCTGTTTCAGGCTCTCACGTTGTTTTCATCACCACGTCTCTCTCTCTCTCTCTCTCTCTCTCTCTGTCTCTCTCTCTCTCTCTCTCTCTCTCTCTCTCTCTCTCTGTCTCTCCACCCGAGGCTTATGCTGCTACAGTGTGAGGGGGATTCTGGGGGAAACACCAGATCTCTGCAAACATTACTATCTAAATGTGAATAAACTTCAACGCAGACTGACATTTATTTGAAAAAAACAAACAAACTTTACATGCTTGTGCATCTAAATTGTTGTTTTTTTACACGTGATTGCAGGTGTGTGTTTTATTGACATGACTAAAGGTGCAACACATCGTTCTTACCTCTGTATTCATGATAACACTGACGTCACCCATGGACCATAATGTACT